GGTCGCGTTGGTAACACGAATATCCTGCGAAGATACAACTGATCACCGGGCAGACGGTAATCTCACGCGCGACATCGTGTCACGATTTAATTGTTCGTACATGCAAAAGCACTCCTATCCACGTAGAATAATTCAAAGAAGAAGAAACGAGAGGCATTTTTCTCTCTCTCTTTCTCCTTGACTCTTGGACAGCGAGCACGATCGAAGCTCTCAACGCGCGTCTTTTCAAAGACGGATCAACAGTCCAACGCTGGACCGGAATTGTAATCTAATCGATTCGACAAATTCCAATTAATTTCCCCCTTTAGAAAGCCGCTCGCAAACCGAGCGCGATTCTTCGTTGCGTATAATTCGAGCAGAATTGTATTTCGGGCGGGGCATTCGTGGCGAGAACGGCAGGTTCGCTTTAATTCTTCAATTTACATTTAAATGTGTCACGTAGCATACCTCAGAGCCCAGGCTCCAGATAGCCGCGATTGTGTTACATTGAAAAGACGGCTGATTGGGCTGATAGCAAACACTGCCGGACGTCTTCGCGGCGGATTCCAATTGCGCCTGATCCCCACGACACTCGTACAAAGTCATGTGATGCAGGTAATCGTGACTTCCGGGTTGTATCACCGGCTCGTACTGAAAAAGGAAGAAATCATCAGCGCGTTCAATCCAACACCTGTCAGATAACAAGAAGGGAAAAAGACAGAGAGTGAGAACGCGAGAGTGAGAAGGAAGAACATGCGCCCCTGACTCCGAGGAACTTAATTCATCGCGCATGCATATACGTATCTGCGTTCGCTGTTGCGAACGTATGAAAAGCATCTTCGATAAATCAAGAGTCCTTTTAACGAATCGACGCGCGCCCTTTGAATCGGCGTGAATCGCGCGTCAGGAATTTCAAGCAACGTGACGAACGTTGACGAACGTTCACTACAGAGGGTTAACTTTCAAATGGAGAGAGCCGTTTATTAGACGAGAATCGCAACGTAACCGCATTGCGATGACGTGATCGCGAATCACCGATGCAGAGATAACGTGCGTGAGATTTCCATGCTACACGACTCTGTTTCATTCCGTTGTCGCCAATTAGATAATTGGGTTAGATTCGACAATTACTCCAGATAATCTTCACGTTATCCTGTCGCAAGAAACACGCAGGATTCGAAAGTACTTCCCGACGGAGCGCGTTATCGACGGAGAACGACTCGCGGGTTACTCGATTTCATAGATCGGCTGTCACACGTCTACGTCGTTCGTTTAGAAACAGATACATCAAAAAATACGCGTGGCATTATCCGGATTTTCATCGGACATCACCGTTTGTAATAGAGATAAAACACGACAAATGATCTCGCGCGGATGACCCTCGAACCTGCGCGTGAACGATGGTGTGTTCGTAAAAAAAAAAAAAAAAAAAAAA